TAACCTTTCCCTATTTCCTCCACCCACCTTCTTTGAAAGTATATTTAATAATCATTATCAGTCAAGCAGTGCTCCCCATATATTTATTCTCTAGAATAACTCTCTGAGGAAGATACTGTCATTACCTTCATTCACAGATATGGAATTTGAGGCACAGAGAGTCTATGTAACCTACCCAAGGTCATCTGACCGGTAAACAGTGACACCAGGATTCAGCTAGGTCACTGGCTCCAGAGCTGCTATATGAAGCTATGCTTAGGAATTTCATTTCTGAGAGATTTAGCCAGAGATGGGAGAAATTTGGCTGAGAAGAATTTGAAATAAAGAAGCTAGTCACTAGGACATGTTGGCACAAGCCTGTAATCCCAGCTACTCTGGGGCAGGAGGATCACAAGTTTGAGGCCAGCTTTAGTAATTTAGTGAGGCCCTTAGCCACTTAGTGAGAACCTGTCTCAAAATAAAAATTAAAAAGAGCTGGAGATATGGTTCAGTGCCCCTGGGTCCAATTCCTGGAATCAAACAAAAACAAAAAACAGCCCCCAAACAATATAACCATCCAGAAAATATCCATTCCATATATCACATAAGCTAGGTTTTTATCCTTAGACTGTTATTTTCCTGCTTTTGTATATATTCACTCTTAAGTTCCAAGTTCTGGTTCATTATAATAGTTATAAATACTATCTGACCCTTAGGGCCACGTGAGCAGTTCCTTCCCTGGTAAGTGTGACATCCAAGGGTGTGCAGAGGCATACCACCCTGAAATCCTACACTTTCATAGCCTTTCCCCTAAGAAGTATATATCTTTTCTCCACAGTTGTGTTGAGAACTAATTAAAGGCAAGGTCTTTAATCTTTTTTTTTTTTAGTGTGTTCTAGGGTCTAATGCTTTTTCAGTACTAGAAACTCAAATATTTTTTGAATAACTCAATTCCAAGTCACCAACTTGATACCATCACCCTCTGTTTGTAATTCCTTTTTCAGAATCTCAGAATCTTCATCATTCTCAATAATTGAACATTTCCACAGGGCTGTTTCAGAGACATTTCTGATAGTACAGTTTGCCTTTGCATCCATAAACTTCACCAACTGCATATCAAAAATGTAGTTAAGGCTAGGTGTGGTGGTACATGTCTGTGATTATAATTTTAATAATTCAGGAGGTTGAGGCAGGAGGACCTCAAGTTTTGAGGTCAGCCTCAACAATTTAGTGAGAACCTGCCACAGAGTTAAAAATAAAAAAGAATTGGGAATATAGCTCACTGGTAAATC